GAATAAAAGTGGGAAAAAACAGTGTACACAATTAGTGGGTTTGCCTGGTGCCTGGGCAGGGCTCGCACCTCCAATTATTGTTGGCTCCACGGGAAGATTGAGGTATGAGCAGGGGTCTCAGACACGCGGGTCGCTCAGGCGCTTTTCGGGCCGCAGTGAATGGACCGCAAGAGGAAAGATAGGCGAGAAACACAAGTCCAGGCCGGCATTGAGTCTCTCTCTCTCTCTCTCTCTCTCTCTCTCTCTCTCTCTCTCTCTCTCTCTCTCTCTCTCTCTCGCCTCGTTATATGGGAGGGACAAGGATAGACAGTGGGCTCGCGCGGCCGACGTGAGCCGAGGCAGCAGAGCGCTGGCTCGACGCCACCGGTTCTCGCCCGGTGTCTCGCCCGCTAGCAATTATCCTTGTCTATCCCATAAAAGTCAGCAAGAGCAAGAGAGATGGGCGGAGTGCCCGCATCGTTTGGAAGAAGGCGAGGGGCAAACAACTTGAATTTTGGTGTACATTTCTCTTGAAATAGCGTGAAATAACGTTGAAATACCCTTGAAATAACGTTTAACAATGTAATAACGCGAATTTGAAATAACGGTGTACAAATTTTGACCAAGTTGTTTGCCCTGGCGAGAAAGGCCCTCGCATTCGGAAGACTTGACGTTCGGAACATGCTGGCTGGCCGAGAAACGCATGCAGGCCGATAAGACCCCCTGGGGGTCCTCGGCACCAATTCGCACCAATTGGCGCTGTACTCATAGCGTTTGGATCGTAGCGTTGGACGCTCCGCCAGCGGCCTCACAGGGGCGGCGTGGCGACGAGTCCGTCGCGTCAGCACCCGGCGGCGTGAATAGCAGCGTAGCGTGGGTGGTAGCCGTGGCCTCGAGCCCACGCAGCCGTGGGACAGGTTCCAGCCGAGGGGGGAACAGCTTCCCACCTTCGTTGTACAAAATGTGACCACATTCAGGTGGCAAAAACGCCTGTAAGTAGGCAACATGTGTGGCAAAAACGCCAGAAATCTTGCACATTCCTGCACATTCACACAGTCATTGTACACAAAATTTTACAGTGGGTCACCCCTAGGTTCCAGCGCAGTGATGCTCGGTGGTTCAGTCGGTGATGGCTGCGCGGCACTCCGGAAGGGGTCGCACAGGGGGCACCGTCCGGGTGGGTCCGGGATGGGTAACACTCACTCACTTTTCGGGTCCGTGGACTGTAGAGTCCAATAACAACACTCTGTCACTACACTGTCGGGCAGAGTAACACCGTAGACTCGGATCGTAGCGGAGCCGCGTGGGCGTGTCGTGGCAGAGCGTGGGTGGTCAGAACTGAGGCCCGCTCCGCAGCACTCGTGTAAATCTTGTCAGAATGTCGGAAACGTGTCTAAAAACCTGATCAAAATTCGCGCATCTCTGAAAGCTGAAAACATATTCTGACATTCTGCAGAACTCAGGCCATCAATATCAGCATAAGTTTTCAGAATTTCAGCTTTCAGAGGTGCGCGAATTTTGATCAGGATTTAAGACATGTTTCTGATCTTCTGACAAAATTTACACGAGTGTGGTGCCCTCCTGCAGCCGTGGTCCGGGGTGGTGCGCCGGCGTAGTGCCGGAGTCCACCCCGGCCCGCCCCGGCCCGACCTCGGCCGGGCCTACGTTGAAGAGGTCGTGGGCCCAGCGATTCGCCCGGCACGCGTCATGGGCGCGTGTCGCTGGGCACGTCGCGGCGGCCGGCCGTCAAGCCGGGTGCGCTCGCGGGACCGGTGCGCCGGGCAGGTAGGCCACCCTTCGGGCTCGAATGGCCGTGTGGCTGAGGGGAACGCGGCGCTATGGCGGCCGTTCCCTCTGAACTCTTTTCGCTCTCTTTTGAAGGCTTTACTCCGATTTGCTCTGTTTCGCGCACTCGTCTCCGTGTTGGATCTTTGCCGTGGGGTCACTCTCGTTTATTTCGTGAGACTTACGTATTTGCTTTACAGTCATTGAAGGCAGTTCCTTCTGTTCCAGTGGGGGCGACGCGACTTTTTGCGCGTTCGCCATTCGGCTGTTTATTGTGTCCCCTCTAGCCCGCCACCCCCTTACAAGTCACTTTAGTAACATTACTGGGTTAGGTTCATAATTGTTTATTCATCACATGGATTACATTTCACGTGGCATTCCGCGTCTTTTACACACTAAACGTGACAAAATGTCACGTTCGTTTGAGCATTGTGTCACGTTCGTTTGAATGTGAACAAGGTGACTTTTGACCAATTCACACCCAAACGAATGTGACACAATGCTCAAACGAACGTGACATTTTGTCACGATCGTTTCAACGTGATGTCACGTTCCTGAAATGAGAGTGCAGTTGCCTTATCGCCCTAATTACACACAAATAGTTCTTTTTTTACGCTATTTAAGTAGTTTTAATCTGGCAGCTGCTCTGGCTGCCATAATTACGCATACTGGTACATGCGTCAGAGACAAAGGGTAATCTCGCCTTTCTAGAAAGAAAGAATTTCGCCTTTATTTTACAGTTATACTGAAGGCAGAGTCTGAACAGTTCCCAAGGTACTGTGGCTGCGGGTTCCCAGGGTACAGTGAACGCCGCTCCTGCAGGCACAGTGTCTGCAGACACAGGGATACAGCATGCTGTATCCCAGGGTACGGTAAACACCTTCTTTCGATGAACAGTGGAGAGTGGCATCAGAATTAACGCGAATCGGCAATACATTAGCTTATTCACGTCACACTGTTCAAAGAAACCTCACTTTTTGTCACATTCGTTTCGACGCACTGCCACGTTCCTGGAATGAGTGTAGACATTGTCCGCCCAACGAGCTGGGTACTTGGGACCCTCGTGAGGTAGGCAACTCAGCGGTCACCACTGCCGGTTGGGCTGCCTACCTTGCACGGCGGTAGCGGTCTGAGGGGAAACGCGACAAATACCGCCAGCAATTTGGGCGATAGCGCGGAGGCCGAGGGAGTTCTGTCCCGCACCCCAGCGTGATGTGCCTCTCTACAGGAGGAATACATCGTAACAAGGAGAATAAATTTGCAAAGGAACACAGATTCCGAATGCTATGGGGGCATTCCACGTCAAACCATCATGTTTCAAAACGCACTTCCTCAGATCCGGACTCCAACATTATCTTTCGTAGCCTACCACGCGAGAAACACGCCAATACATTTTTTGAACAATTTTTCAGGACTTTGGCAGTGGTGATTTTTTTTTAATTTCTGATAAAATTTCAAGACTTACGAATACGCAGGTTTTTATTTAAGTGTATTCAAGTGCTCAGATGGGTTGAAACAGTAATGGTCAACATAATAGAGTGATAAACAAACTTGGAACCCCCAACTTTTACCAAAAAAACAAGTTGTTGACCTCAATTTTGAATTCCCAAAATACACTATCATACTTTTTGGACCATATTGGCATCAAAGGACCCTGAGGAGGTACTCTTGTCAGCAAAACATTGGGGATGGCAATCCACACACACTAAACGTCACAGGACTTTTTTTGCCCCAAGCATGGTGCAATTTTAAGCACATCCAACGGTGATACAGTTTTGTGCCTCCCTAGCGATACATTTTGTCCAATGCCTTCTGCAAATTTTACTTTCATGAGAATTTGTTCCACTGTCCCGGCAGACACAAAATTGTACCGCCGTCGGGCGTGCCTAAAAATGCATAATTTCATGCAAATTTGAGTACAATTTTATGCAAAACGTCACATAGGTTTGAAACCATGCATCACCACATACAAAATTGTACAGTAACATATGGAGTGTGCTATTACACACGCATTCAACAACAAATCCCAGAGAGAATGCCCTTGTGACAGTGCTGAGGTTCAGCAAATAAATTATTCTGGAAACAGTAGGTTCAGTTGGGGTAATAATGGGACAGTTTGAATAATAAGGTTTCCACAACTCTGCAATGGCGAGTTGGAGTGTTTCTAATGCTTTTAAAGGATAGGGTGCTCTGTTCCACACCATTCGGCGTTAAAATAAGATCAAAAAGTCATTTAATTTTGCAGTTGTGTTAAATAAACTATGATAACTCGGACTTGTAAGTTTGGGGTAAAAATGGGACACGCTGGGGTAAAAATGGGACAGGGGCTTAGCAGTGCTGAAACAGGCCTCAAAGTTTTCCAAATAGACACCACTATAAAATTTGATCCGTCTCAACACGAGGAACAATAAATGTCATCACATGCCACAGGTTCGGATGAAAAATGAAAAGGCATTGCGCTTTAAAAGAACTTGGGTGCAATTTGATCTCTTGCGACTATTTGTTTATTTCAAAGCCCATTAACTTTTTAAATATCCATCCAAACCCATAGCATGTGTCGACATTTTTTGTTTGTATAGGCGCGAGGCCAATCTATTTCCGTTCAGAGATGTCAATTCGAACAACTTTGAAAATTTTCTCCCCTAAGGCCACAATTTACCATTAACAAAGTGTCCCATTTTTACCCAAAGGGGTGTCCCATTCTTACCCCACCGGAAAATTCAACAATTGCAAGTTAACGAATGCATTGATGTCAAAATGAGTTGGTGGATCGAAATCCTCGTTCTTTTAGCTTTCCAAAACACTATAATACTTTACTTTTCTGTTTATTGGGGGTTCTGTAGTGATCTGACCCCTGCGGCAAATTTTCCCAATCTTAAAAAAAAACCATAATTGCCATGTTCTTCTTGATTTCTTAATTCCCATTTCTATGAGCAGTCATTGTGGCGCCGTATGAAAAATGGAATACTAGACACCTGATCATTTTAAGCACAGACATGTCATTGTAGGACGTTTCAAAATGCCAAAACTCGTCAAGATTAGAAAGTGTCCCATTTTTCCCCAAGTTTTCAGTGTCCCATTATTACCCCAACTGACCCTACCGTCAGTTTTGATTTTGAACTTAATTTCAACTTCACTGCATTTTAAATCACATCAGCATGGTGCAGCATAAGAGGTGGTGACGAAAAGCAGACGTGGCCGCAGACATCCTGTTCCGGCGACGCGGTGCAACGGCCCGGGAAGATGGCGCCGCTCTCGATATAGTGTTTACAATTAGACTTGTAAATTAACTATTTCACCTGTAAATTTAAGAAGCAGGTTGTAAAATGTTGAACAATTTGTCAATTTACAATTTACTTTGTAAAAAAAACCAATGCAGTTCGTGGCACAGATTTAACAGGCAAATATGCATAAAAGTAAGATTGAGTTGTAAGAAAAGAAGTTCACGCATGATAAAACGAGAGGCGCAAGATAACGATTTTATCAGTAAAACTACGATCTTTCGTCAGTAACATTAAGATTTCATCGTAAAATTACGAATTTATTCCTAAATTTATGAGTAAAGTTTGTCGAAAATATGACAACTGTTCATTTCATGAATCTTGTGGTTATTTTACGAATTACAAGGTAGGTGTACGCCAGACCGTGTCTTGTCGTAACAGGCTTCGCGATGCTGCGCCAGTTATGACAACCCACGCCTGGCGTTACACCTACCTTGGCCTGCGGCGCTTGCCTGCCTTCGGCAGGCTAGGTTTCTTTTCCAGGCATCCGCATACCAATTTGCGTGATTGAAGGTCAAAACAGCATTTGATTTCGTGCCTAGGGCTGCATTGGCCTGACTTTTTAACTTGTCGAGGCTGGGGGGCTCCGCCCCCAGACCCCCCTTTCCTCAAGACAGAAGTGATCTGCCTGCAGAAAACTCGATTTTTCGCCGTTTTTTAGGTGTTTTTCGGCTATAAAAACCGAACTAGTTGAGCTAGGATAGTGAAATTTCGCGTGTGCTGAGCCAAGGACATACCCAAAAAGTGTGCAAAATCTCACAGAGATCGGCCGAGCCGTTCAGGAGGAGTAGCGCGGACACACACACACACACACGCACGCACGCAGACAGGAAAAATTTTTCAACCCCACCTGAGTAACAGGCTTCGCTATCGCTCAGCCAATTATTTGTAAAATTACAACACTAATTGTTGGGATTAATGTGGTAAAATAATGACTTCTCTTAACAGCGATGGCCAAATTATGGCCAGACAAAAAGTCACTTTTCGTCACGCCAAAAAATGGCGTGACAGGAAATTCACGCCGAAAGAGGGCGACGTGTGCACTCTAAAAAAAATCAGTACAGAATTTTTTAACATGGTTACGCAGCTTTTTCAATAACATGTGTTACAGAAATTTGTATCACGATGGATACAATTTTTATCTTTGTAACTTGGTTACAGAATTTCGTAACGGTTACAAAATTTGTAAACAGTCGTTATTCTTCCAAATCAAGCTTCAAAATGAGAATTTTGTTCGAACGTAGTCTTTGTGGGTCTGGTTGAAGGTCCTTATGCCATTCTTCGAGTTACAACTTTCCCAGATGTACTCTGAGAAGTCGGGAATCGAACCCCAAACTCTGGGTTGGCGGCCCGCCACGCTACCAACTGCGCTGTGCGGACGCCGTGGAGGGAGCGGCGCAGGTAGCCGGTGACCTGAGGCGCGCGCGGTAAGGGACGGAGGCCTTGCCAGCCAAGCATACACGAGACTGAATCTCTTATTCAGAGTCGGGAAAAATAAAAGCACATGAAAACTCTAAGTTTAACTTGTCTCTATGGGCACTGCTGTTCAATTTTGCCGTTAAAACATTATGTTTTTATCTCTGATACAGAATTTAGTATCCAGTTACAATTTTCTGTATCAGTTATGTTACAAACATAATATTGTAACCTTCATGTAACAAATTTCTGTATCAAGGTCCAAAATGATTCATTTTTCTGTAACCGGCACATCTGTTACAAAATTCTATATCACCTATACAAATATTTGTAACCAATGCAGGTGATACAAAATCCTGCATCAAAAATGATACAAAATTCTATAACTTTTTTTAGAGTGTGCGTCACGCCGTCATCTGGCGTGAATGTATCATGTGGATTGGTGCGCACAATGCGTTGTATGAGGAAAGTCGTGCCAAAATCCGCCAGGACAAGAAATTCACGCCAAAAAATGGCACGAATTTCTGAGTCGCGCCGATTTTTGCCGTGAATTTTCTGTCATGTCGTATTTTAGCATGACACTTAATTAGCGCCCCTGCAGCGGCAAGAAGTCACGCCGATAGATTTTCAGTGTCAATAGCCACACCGGTGAAACGAAGGCATTGCAACTTTGCCCGTAAAGGGCGCAAACGATTTACGCCTCTGTAACGACGCGAAGGGCATTAAAACTTTCCTTGGAAGTCCTACACCAATTCACGCCCTTCCGAAGGCCATTGAACGATTTTGCGGGGCGTGAAAGATTGTTCATGCCCTGATGGGCGTTTTTTTAATGCCTATGTTTTTACTAGTGTACGAGTCCCACGCTTGCAAGTGTGGTCTCCCACTTTGATTTACAGAGTAGATAGATACCTTGCTAACTTATATGCGTTATGACTTTTTCAGTCAAGTCTACGATAAGTTTGATGCAGAATCGAGGTTTCTTGACTTCTGGTCTTTTGGAGTAGACGCCGATCGCGTATGCGCGAAATCGACCGTAGGGCAGGACAGGAAAATGTCGTAGCTGACCGACTCGGGACGGCGTGTTAGTGACATTATAGGTCCGCTGCAACAAAACCTAACTTGAAGAGTTTTTTGACAATATCTCCGGTGTTTATGAATTGCCGTCCCCAATATTTTGCTGGCAGTTAGAGTACCGAGTTCGAGGGCTGAAGTAGCAGGTAAGGGATTGCCAATGAGTCTATTGCACCCTTATGTGATGCTCTTTCGATATGTGCAAAGTGATTTGCAAACAATGGCCTAGTTTGAATAGAGCATTCTAGTCGTCGCCGATCGAAGAACATAAAGAAGAACAAAACCGGAAGCCGTGAAGAAACGGAGTAGGTATCAAGCCCGGTTTCAACGAGAAATGTCGACAAATATTTTTATTTCCTGAGTCAAAAAGTGTTTGAAACAAACGAAAGTGCTTTTGAAAGAGATTCGACACAGAAAACTCAGAAACTAGCCCACTCAGAGACGTTTGGGAGGTTATGTTGCCGGGGCCAATTCCGGCTTTGTTCTTCTTCTTGTTCTTCGATCGGTGACGACTAGAATACTCTATTATCTCGAAGAAGTCCGTGACCCCTGCACGGAGCAAGATCGGAGTGAGAGCTTCGCCTCACTGCCGCTTTAGGGTGTTACCACCCCCTGGTAAAACAACTGTTTTTGGAGTGGTGACACCATGGTTACGAATGCTCACGACTTACGTTGGGAACAGGACACTTTCGAGGGAAACCATCGATGTGTGTGGCAAGTAACACTACCAACTCTTTTCCTACTTCTTCCATAACGAAACAAAAGTCTTGTGGCGGCACTACGAAGAAGTGCTCTCTCCATCCCGACACTGTATCCCACTTGGCGACGTCTAACTTAACCTGTCGATCAAAAGAAGCCATTATTAATTTTACTGCCCGTGGAGCTTAAGGATCATTTAGGAAACTCAACACTGAACTGAACTGTCCTCGGCGCGGGCGCTTGAGTCAATAATATTTAAAGGAACGTGGCATTTTGTCCATGCTCGTTTCAATGTGGTGTCACGTTCTTGGAATGGGATTGATACAAGGTGGGTTTTAAGGGGAGGTGCTACTGAAAATCTTATTTCTTCAAATTGAGTCCCACTATCTATTCATTGTAAATTTCAAGCATTTCATAGTAAATAGCAAAATTTGAAGTTTGGAGAGCAATACCTAGCCCCAAATCTAGTCGAAGAGGAATTTTCGGCTATTTACAGTCGTATCTTGAAAAATTCTCCTACGCCAAGTATTTCAACGTAAACTGATGTTCTGGGCACTTTTCACTTCATCGGTTCATACTTGATGATCCGTGGCACTAGTAGTAAGATACTGGGACCATTCCAAAATCATAAGCTGTGTTTATAAGACAGCATGTCACTAAAATTTCAAGAAAATAGTAAAAATCCTGATACTCAAGTGTCTTTTTAGCAGATGATACCTTTACTTAAAAACATACCTAAAACTACAACTACAAGACACAGAAAGGTGTCACCTAGCTTTTAATCGAGAGTCCAAAAACCAAGGCCTCCCGATTTGGCCCGGCCCGGGGGCGCTCGGGCTCGGCGCGGCGGCGGGCGGTGCAGGCCACGGCTGGCCACGGCTCGGCACAGTACCAACACCGGCCAGCTCGCTCGGGTCTTTGAATTTTGGTCTATGTTTTTGTAAAAAAAAAAAAAAAAAAAAAAAAAAAAAAAAAACGGAGGGACGGGCATAAGGTGCGTCCGTTCGTCCGAGGACTTCCCGTGGTCCGATCTTGACCAAATTTGGTGTGCAGCCTCCTGGGGTGACCCTTAGAACCGCCCGGTGGCAGCAAATCCGATCCGAGCCCCGGGGGCACTGCTGCAGGTGCATCATGGTCTACATGGGATCCAGGAGGATTTCGGCAACGGATACAGCTAGAAGGGCATGTAGGGGTATTTTTAGAATCGGGGCGACGAAACAAAACCAACGGTGCCAGTTACAAGCGAATCAGAGAAGTTCGGATCCGGGTTCAAATCCCAGTGGGGTGTATTTTGTCCATTCTTTTTATCCGAGTTTTTGCATTGTTTTTGATGTTTTTGAGGGTGCTGATGACGAAAATAACAACTATTTTGACCTCAGACTCAGGTTCACATCCCGTTTGGGTTGAAAATAGGCGATATTTGCCCAGTCCTGAATGGGTTGACGGGACGGGCCAAAGTTGCCGATGTATATCGATACTTTTGCTGTTATTGAATACTATATCTTTGTAATGAGCCCCTTACTATCCCGTAGAAGAAAACCAAACGAGTATCATCTGCTTTCATTAACGTTCGTTAAACGAGATTTTTTCTGAAAAGCAACGCTAAAATAAATTTGGTGGGTCCCATGTCTTGTTGATGCCACACTTTAATGAATATGAGCCAAAGAAGTGAAAAATGTCCATAACATCAGTTCACGTGGAAATACTATGCGTAGGAGAATTTTTTGAGATATTGCTTAACTAGGCTGAAAAACCCTCTTGAAGTGGATTTGGAGGAAGGTAATGGGCTCTAAATTTCATGTTTGACTGCTAACTCTGTAGTACGTCTCATCTGCAACAAATGTTTCCACTATGGGGCTCAATTTGAAAAATGCAACTTTTCAATAGCGGTCGCGACACAAAGAATCTCGTGTACATGTGCAACGGGACGGCACTCACCATGCTTTCACCTCGCGTCAGCGCGTTGTTTTTCACCTGAAAGTAGCCGTCGAAGAGGAGGTGGTCCTTGCTGGAACGATTAGAGTGTAGGACTCCCTCTATGATGAGGTCGTCATCGGCGTCGTACTCTGATTTAGGACAGGAGCCCAGCGAGCGGACTGTGATCGTGTACGGCCCCTTGAAGAATCGTGAGCGAAATTTCGTTGTGAGGGGACGGTGCAGCGCCAATTGGCAAAGAATGAGCCAGTGTCCGTGGCAGGGGCGGGCAGTGTAAAACAGTGTGTACAGCAAATGCCGCAAACGCTTCCCTTGTACACTGTCAGAATGTTAGAAACGAAACATGTCTGAAATCCTGCCCCAAATTCTTGCAATTTTGAGAGCTGAGCCTCTGAAAACTTGTTCCGACATCGATGGCCTTCAGTTCAACATAGAATGTCAAGATTTCAGCTTTCCGATAAGTGCAAATTTCGTTTAGGATCCGAGACAGGTTTCAGACATTCTGACAAAATTTACACGAGTGTACCCGCCAGGTGGCGTGTACCTGCTCATACACTGTTGCTCTGCTCCTACATGCGGAAGGCAGAAGCATAAATGAAGGGGGTCATACCCAAAAACTTTGGGTTTTTGAAATCACCAGAAAAACGACACGTAGAAGAGGAAAAATTTTCATTTTTTTAGAGTTACAACAAAACTGCCAGGGGTACAGCGTTTCTTGAAACAATTTTTATGTTATTAAACCCTTTCCCCCGTCTGTTTTGGGGCTGGACGCCAAAGGGTTTGCCTTAGCTTATTTGGGGACAGTTTTAAAAGCTGGCAAAGGTGGGGCCTAAACACTCAAAATAGTTTGAGGTTTTATTTTGTAACATACCCAAAAGAATTTTTCAGCTATTTGGGTAAAATTTGTTTAATTTTAAAGTTAAAAAACTTTTCGGAGTGTTTTTTGGCTCCCCCTCGGCTTGAATCTTTCCGCAAAGCTCCTGCGAGCTCAAAATGCGGGCTTTAGATGCAAACATTTGCAATTTCATTTAAAAAACGCTCGATGCGGGCCCTTTTTCTAATGTTTGCGGCGAAACCAACAAAAACTTTTTTAAATTTTGAAATTTTTGGAAAAACCAACTTTTCTCATTCGCGCATTAAACGGTGGTCCAAATTAACCTAATAAAGTTGTAATTTTTGGTCATTTTTACCCCCCCCCAAGTTTCAAAAACCGAAATTTGGAGGAAGTTTGGCTAAATTCAAAACACCAGGAAAAGAATAAATCGTAGAAAAGGGGAAGGCATTATATGTTTTTTGATTTCTGAAAACTGAAGGGGTTTGGGTTTCCAATTAAATATATTATCTACCATCCTTCCCGCGTCTTTTGGCTCAAACGGCAAGTTATGCTTCAGCTTCTTTGTAGAGTAACAGCTGTGCAAAGAGTGGTCCGTATTACTCCCTAGTTTGGGGTAATATGGACCACCCCTAGAATTTTTCAGCTATGATGGGTGATTTGGGTTTCTAATTGGCTTCAAAGACTTAAAAAAGCTTTTCGGAGTGTGTTGGTCTTGGGTGCCTCACTTGAATCTCGCGACAAGAGCTCCTGCGCCATCAAAATAGGGACTTTTGATAAAAGCAAAACATTGTGGAATTTGACATTAAAAACGCTCCGCGCCTTATCTAATAAAATCCGTGAAACACAATCAATCTAAACTAGTTTAAATTTCGATTTCGAAGACAAAACACTTAAAACTTTTCTCAGTATCTGTCATTTAACGTGGTCCAAATTACCCTGTAAAGTTACAATTTTTCACATTTTACCACATAAGTTATCAACAACTCGATTGTGAGAGGCAAGTTTCGACAGACGTAGTCTCAAAACATGAGGAAACAAGAATAAATACCAGAAACGGCAGCATTATATGTAGTTGATGCTCGACAACTGAAGTTTGTCATTAAAACGTCAAAAACGCCAAAAAAAATAAGTTTCTTAAAATTTGCTTTAAATTGAGCTGATATCTCACTGTGAGTCTTGGAGCACCGTCTCATTGGCACAATTTGAACCACGGTACATGCAAGTTCGGTTGATAGTGCCAGAAACTGTTTTCGAGGCCTCCGCGAGGCGGCAGCACCGATCGCAGAGAAGAATGTCGCGGCTGGTCCACATTACTCGCTTTTATGGTACAATGCAAAGATTTGTGCACTGAAATTCCAGATCATGTCCCCTCGTCCTGAAGCATGCTATTTCTGTGCACACACATAATTTAGTAGAGTATTTACTGGTGAAAGAAGTGAAACTCGGACAGCAGTGTCTCTCACCGCAAATGCCGCATGAACGCTTCCAGTGGAAATTAGTGACACTAAAACTGGCAGCATCAGTTTAGTCTGGCCGCCCCAGAGAAGGGCTCCGCACGACATCAGGCCATGGAGCATGTCTGACCTGCGGTCGTGCCTGATGATTTGCGTTAACTAGGTACGTCGCACTTTCCACCAAAGGTCGCGTCGATGCTTTTCTGTATACACGTCAAACAGTCGTCCTTTCATAGCACTCTACCTCGCCATGAAAGCCTTGTGACGCTTGCGTGACCGTCCACACTCAAGTGCTGGCATTGTTGGCTGTCGAGTTATCCCGGTCACCGCATCGGTCTGGCTCCAATTCATCGTGCACGCACCGGATGTGTTGAAGGGGTTGGCACACTACGCGCGGTCATTTCATGAATCTTGTGGTTATTTTACGAATTATAATTTTAATTTGTAAAATTACAACACGAATTGTTGGGATTATTGTTGTAAAATAACGACTTCACTCTACCAAAAGGTAACACGACGGTTCACACAAATTTTTCCACATTTTGAAGTTTCGCCTAATGTAATTTCGCATAGACAGTTTCACACAAATTTTTTCACACAAATTTCTTTTCACCTACAATGCCAGTTAACACACATTTATTTCGAAGGGTTTCAAGGGGCACGAGGCCACTAGCAACCAACGCCACAAGGCTACTACGTAAAATTGTGGCCACGGCGAGCCAAGTGCTCCAGGAAGCGGTCGTCTTCTAGGGATATAGTTCGGTATCTAATCGAATCAGGGGTGATTCGATTCGGGGACAGATACCCTTGTGTTGACCCGGAATATTCGGAATTTCGAATAGACGTTGGTTCCTCTTCGAATCGGTTGCTCGGGACCGGTTGAAAGACGCGCGCACGGCGTTTAGCATTGTTTTTATATTAAAGCTAGATCAGATTTTTTTAAATTTCTGCTCTATATTCTAACTCATGCAGAAAATGTGTTTTAAAACACACTATTTTTGGGATTTTGTTTCTTTGTTTCAGTTTGAATTTGATTCGATTCTTAATCTTTAAACTTCGGATCGATTTAATTAGACAACTTTTTCGATTCAAAATTTCTTTTTTAGATTCAATTTGAGTTTGATTCGAAATGAAAATCCTTGACTCGCACATCCTTACAGTCTTCCCTGTAGTCTTCTTACTCTAGGGCCGCCATCTGGAGAGTCAATCGGCAAGGAACTGCCAATAAATAGGTTCTCACAAAAATTGTGTGAACAATGTGTAAACCGTTGTAAATGTAAAATGGTACTTCGTGTGAAAAAAATTGTGTGAAACCGTCTATGTGAAATAACATTAGGCAAAACTTCAGTATGTGAAAAAATTTGCGTGAACCGTCGTAGAACCCTACCAAAAATGTCCTGTAAATGCCGTTAATTTATTACCAGCTTTCACTGTAGGTCAATTCACAGCGTTTACTGTGAACTGCTCACGGGATTCACTGTGATCTTGTTCGCGGTATTCACTGTGATCTGGTCCCCAGTAAACACTGTGAGTTTGACGCCGCTGAGCACCGAAGGACTGCAAATCAGGCTCCAATTTACGGCGTTTGCTGTGGCCAGATCACAGTGACAACTGTAACCGAGATCACAGAGAACGCCGTGAACTAGTTCACAGCAAACGCCGTGAATTGCATAACAGCAAACATTGGTAATAAATTAACGGCGTTGACAGGACATTTTTTGTAGAGTGTTCTCTTAACAGTGTAAAACAACAGCCTCAGAGCGCACACAAAAATCCTTGCCTAGTATTCTCCAGCTCCGGCATTGTATTGCCAACTATTTTTTTGCATTGAAAACTTTTACCTTTTAACTTGCAAGGAAGATGCTTTGCAACGTTACACACCATTTCTTCGCAACTTACGAACAATTTCTTTGGAATGCAAACGAAAAATTCGGAAAGGTGTTCGTTATACAAAGCAGGTGAATACTTCGTCTGCGAAGCACTTGCGTTTTCAAGCTTTCAAGAGTGCGCCCCGATTTTGGGGGTACAACCTTTTTCTATCTTGTGGAGACGGAGAAACAGCGTAAACCAGGGCGCTCTCCCGTAAAACATGCAAAATATGGGGGGGAGGGGGGTTCGTTTCATCACGAGATAAAGTGACCCACCATTTTCGAGGGGTGCTTTTATAAAGGGATGAAACCACCCCTCGGTTATTCTATCCCGTGATCCAGCTACAAGGGGGGGGGGGGGGGGGTTCTATCTTGCGGGACAAAACCCCTTCCCACACGGACCAGGGGGGTGACTTCACCACGAGTTGAAACCACCCTCCTCACACGGTTAAAGCGGTTCCTGGTTTTCCCAGTAACACCCTGGAAATCGCCTATGTCTTCGCCATAGGGCTCCTGGGAAAACCAGGTACCGTTTTTGCCGTGCAGCAATCAGCCTGGGGGTGTTTTTGGCCCGCCCTTCTATTCAAAAAATAGGGGGAGGGCCTATGCATTTGCCTTTGTGTCTGTGTGTTGTTGTTGTTGTTGTAGTAGTTGTTGTTGTTGGCGTCTGTGTACAAGGAAGGAGTTGAGCTAGAGTAACCAGATTTGGAGGGTACTTCAGGAGTACCGTCCAAACAAATAATCCGGTGGTGCAAATCCCGTCCGGGTCGCACAAGGGCTGCTGCAGGTGCATCATGGTTTACATGAGCGGGAGGGGGATTTCCGCCATTATTGGTGCTAGCAGGGCACAAAGGGGTATTTTTGGAATCGGGGCGACGAGACAAGATGAATGGACCTGGTCCCGACCCCATCGGCCGCTTTTACGAGTTGGCCAGATCAGGATCTTCAAAAAAGGGGGTCGACCGACTAAAAAAAATTATTGCAGATTTCGATTGGTCTCAGCAAGACCTTTTCAACGAGGGGGCGGAAAGGGGGTCCAGGAGCCCGACTTCGTCTATTAGTCACATCAGGATCTTGAAAAAAGGGGGTCGACCGACTGAAAATTTTTACTTAAGTTTTGGATAGGTCTTGGCAAGGCCTCTTCAACGAGGGGTCGGAAGGGGGGTCCAGGAGCCCGCCTTCATAAGTTATGGGAAAAGTGCGACGGACTCGTTTTGCGCTCCTGCTGTGCCTCTATTGCAAGGAGTTGCAGTAGCATGGCAAATATGGGTATTTTCGGAATGAGGGCGAAGAGACAAATGAAATGGGCATATTCTAAGGACAGTTGGAGTAAAAAGTGTAAGGACTATTGCATATTGTGAATAGAAGGGCGGGCCTAAGTCACGATGGTACATCGATAACTGTGCTTTACCCGCTCACGGTGTGTGTGATGCGAGCGGGCCGAAGGCCCGGGCCTTCGACTGGCCAAGTTGGGTCTGATGCGAGGGCCAAAGGCCCGAGGAAAGGCCGCCGGCAGGCCAAGCTGGGCCGGCCCCCTGTCGAACCGAGTTGCCGGCGCAGCGAAGCGGAGCTGGCAACTCGGTTCGACGGAAGGGCGGGCCCTAGCTTGTTATCCCGTGGCAAAGCCAACCCCGGTTTTTTATCGGAGGGGGGGGGGGGAGGAGATCTAGCACCTCACACCGCACTCGATAGCGCCTTAGCTGCAAATCTAAGTGTGAGACAGTCTCGCACGTTGACCACCAAAATGACTCACGCTTACAGGTCTGAATCACGGTTGCAAGTGTGAGGCACCGATGTCTTTCACACATGCAAGTGTGGTAGGGTAAAGTGCCGAACATGGATCGGGGTACCAAACATGGATCATTTCTGTTTGGGGGTCTGTAACTAAAGACCAGGTGAGCAGATTCTAAATTTCTGTCTTTCCTTGCTTAGACTGACCCTTTGACTGTTCGATGTGAAGCTGACAAGCTTGTAACTGCGTCTCTCTACTCAGCGGGGTTGCGTTTAGAAAGACACCTTAAACAGGCCCCCGAAAATCGATGGGTAAATGACGTTCAAAAAGGTGACTTTAGCACCCCTGATTCTGGGCCAAGCAATCACCGCAGTCACTTCAAAATTTTTCATCGTGCACTTTGGACAGACTACTTTGATATTTTGGGACTACTGAATGCATACCTTGCTATGTGTCCGTACGCTGGTAGGGTGATCCATGATTGGACCACCCTAACCTAACCTTAGCAAAAATAGCCATATTTTCTTGTCCTCACAACTTCCAAAGTATTCGAGTTAGAGGTACCATTATTGGTAGCCATATGACCAGTAAGAAACATCAATATTAGATTCAAAAATAGTAGTCAACCCATACTTAATTTCGATCTAGAGAAGATTATTGGCTGAGCGATAGCGAAGCCCGTTACTCCAGTGAGGTCAAAAACCTTTTTCTGTCTGCGTGCGTGCGTGTGTATGTGTGTGTGTGCGCACTACTCCTCCTGAACGGCTCGGCCGATCTGGCTGAGATTTAGCAGGCTCATACGGTATGTTCTTGGCTCGGCACTCGCGAAATTTCACTATCCTAGCTCACGTGGTTTAGTTTTTATTGCCGAAAAACACCTGAAAAACGGCGAAAAATCGAGTTTTCTGCAGGCAGATTACTTCAGTCTTGAAGAAAGGGGGGTCTGGGGGGCGGGGCCCCCAGCCTCAACAAGTTAAAAAGTTTCAAGGGTCAAGATCGTGTTATCGGTAGATGAAGAAACTCTATCTAGAATGAAGGGGGGTCTGGGGGGCGGAGCCCCCATTATGCAATAACGGACGATGGACAAGCCAATGCCTGCCGAAGGCAGGCTAGCGCCGTAGGCCAAGGTAGGCACGCCAGGCGCGGATTGGAGGAACAGGCCGCGATACATCGCGAAGCCTGTTACGACAAGACGCGGTCTGGCGTAAACCTATCTTGTTTTAAAAGTGATGCATGTTTGATAACCTTACCCTACAAGGGTTGTCCCACACCCTTCTGCCTACGGGTCCCTGTGGTTCCACTGAAAATCGAATGGTCGGACACATGGCCAAATTATGGCGTGACAAAAAGTCACGCCATAAAATGGCATGACAAAAAGTCACGCCAAAAAATGGCGTGACAGGAAATTCACGCCTAAAATCGGCCTGCCATGTGCGTCACGCCGTCATCCGGCGTGAATGTATCATGTGGATTGGTGCGCACAATGCGCAAAGTCGTGCCGATAGATTTTCAGTGTCAATAGCCACACTGGTGAAACAAAGGCATTACAACTTTGCCCTTAAAGGGCGCAAACGATTTACGCCTCTGGGACAGCGTGAAGGACATTAAAACTTTTCTTGGAAGTCCTACACCAATTCACGCCTTTCCGAAGGCCATTGAACGATTCACGTCCTTGAGGGGCGTGAAAGACTATTTATGCCCTGAAGGACGTGGTTTTAATGCCTCTGTTTTACTAGTGCACCAGTGCACCCCTCCCACGCTCGCAAGTGTGAAACAAAACATGTACATTTTGGTTCACGCTTACTAGAGTGGGACTGTCTCCCACTTTGATTTGCAGAGTACACTGCCGGTATCCTACAGGGCTTTTTCTTCGTAATACGAATAACAAGGTAGGTGTACGCCAGACCGTGTCTTGTCGTAACAGGCTTCGCGATGCTGCGCCAGTTACGACAATCCACGCCTGGCGTTACACCTACCTTGGCCTGCGGCGCTTGCCTGCCCTTTTCCAGGCATCCGCATACCAATTTGCGTGATTGAAGGCCAAAACAGCATTTGATTTCGTGCCTAGGGCTGCATTGGCCTGACTTTTTAACTTGTCGAGGCTAAGGGGCTAGACCCCCATTAGCCTGACTTTTTAACTTGTCGAGGCTGGGGGCTCCGCCCCCTGACTCCCCTTTCTCCAAGACAGAAGTGATCTGCCTGCAGAAAACTCGATTTTTCGCCGTTTTTTAGGTGTTTTTCGGCTATAACGTGTGCCGAGCCAAGGACATACCCCAAAAGTGTGCAAAATCTCACCGAGATCGGCCGAGCCGTTCAGGAGGAGTAGCGCGGACACACTCACGCACGCACGCTGACAGGAGAAATTTTTCAACCCCACCTGAGTAACAGGCTTCGCTATCGCTCATGCAGCCAATAACCTTAGCGCAGTGAAGGTAGTAACTTATGGTGAAGAGTTCTCAGTCTTATGACCACTTTCTACATATTACGAAAAAAATTATCTGTATTATGACAGATTTGTGTCGTAAAGTACTGAGAATTAGGTTAGTATGACTGCACGGCACTTCTCAGTAGGAAATTGGGAGTGTAGATACTTAGCTAACTTATAGCCGTTACGAATTTTTCAGTCAAGTCTACGATAAGTTTGATGCAGAATCGAGGTTTCTTGACTTCTGGTCTTTTGGAGTAGGCGCCGATCACATATGCGCGAAATCGACCGTAGGGCAGGACAGGAAAACGTCGTAGCTGACCGATTCGGGACGGCGTGTTAGTGATATTGTAGGTCCGCTGCAACAAAAACTAAGCTTTCGACGAACGTTGCGTTAGCTTAAATTTCAGCACAGTACGACTTAACGGGTCATGTCGAGGGGGTAAACACTTGCGTAATACCCTGTGCACACAAGTCGCGTATTACGCCGTAATACGCGTAATAGTAATACATTTTGGGATGCGTAATACAAGTGTAATACCCCGTAATAGGGAGTAGTCTGTACAAGGTTCACCGGAGTGTTTACCCCCTCGGGTCATGTGCTGGCTTACAATCTTGCGAAGTTAAAAAATCAAATGTGGGTAAGTTTTTTGAAAAAGAAAAAAATGCATATTTAAAAAGTAAATTTTGAACAAGTAGCCAAAGTAGCTTCGAGGCGTTTACATATTAATCCCTTGACTAATTCTATTATTTCGTCTTGTTTCAGTGCTTTTGTGAAACAACTGTTTATGGAGTGGTGACACTTTAGTACATATGCTCACGACTTACGTTGGGAATAGGACACTTTCGGGGGTAACCATCGATGTGTTTCGCAAGTACCTCCATCAACTCTTTTCCTATATCATCCACAAGGAAACAAAAGTCAGGCAGCGCCACTGCCCAGAAGTTCTCTCTCCATCCTGACACTGTATCCCACTTAGCAATGTCAAATTTAACCTGTCGATCAAAAGAAGCATTTTTTTTTAGCAGATGATACCTTTACTTAAAAACATACCTAAAACTACAACTACGAGACACATAAAGGTGTCAGCTAGCTTTTACTCGAGAGTCCAAAAACCAAGTGCTTATGAGCAGTTCTCGCGAAATGGTTAATTTTGGGCCCTGAAACTTTTTGAAAAAAAGTTCAATTGAAACCGGGTTTTTTGCATTTATCTAGTTAAGAACATCACTAGGGATCATGGATTCATCGGGGCGAGCTATCACCCCAATAATATAGGAAATATCGCAATTTTAATTTTTTTGCCGTCCACGGAAATTACACAGCCTCAGAAACTGTCCACGGAAATTACATTTTAATGGGCCCTTAGAATAGGTGCGATACGAACGCAAACGCCTAGCAGTTTAAGCAGCTCCCTCCACATCTGTGCATTCTGGTTCCATGTTGCGTACCTCACAATAAAATTCCGGGCTAGACCACAGTTTGATCGTATGCCGTTTCGGGCCCGACACATGCCCGCGTGCACTGCCAAACGGGACACGGCCGTCCTTACTGGGGTGCCACGTTATACTGGCGGAGAAGAACCTCGTGCGGCTACAAGGTCCCACTCGTAGTGTGACCAGTATGTGACGAGGTGTACATCCCCCCCCCCCTTAGAACAGCCTCTTTGAGCAGGACTGGGTCCGGTGTCCACCTCTCCCGGCTCAATTCCCTTGTCTCGGGAACAACTGTGAATTCATTTTCACGGTTGCATAGTGTTTACCTCCCAGGCGGTACCTCTCACACTTGGCAAATGATGGGCCCTAGAGTGGACAACGGAGGAAAGTCCCTCTTGATCAGCTCCTGCGTGTCTATGTTCGGAAAATATTAAATAATGGGTGCGATCTGTTGAGGAAAAGTTGATCGGCGGGTCGAGACAGCGTCCCGCTCGCGGTGCGGTCTATTTAGCCCTCCTGGAAGCATATCTGGCACCCACGTTTACTAACCTATATTTTCGGAAAGATTTCTCTTTGAGTTTGAGGAACAGATTGCTGCAATTTATTCGATAAACTGGGTCTTAGCATTCGAACGGCAAGCTTAGGAAAGACGTCATGTTGCTTAACATATCGGTCAGGTTAAGTCCACCGCAAGTCTTAAACGGTCAGCTAGATCCCAAAATACAGCGAGCCTATTTTTCGCAAGACATTAAGCTTTCGGTTAAGCTTTCCGATCTGAATAATCAACGTTGAACGGTTTCACTGACTCGCAGTCACAACTGTCAAGGCAGTATGCCGGCCGCGCCGAACAAGGCAGCATAAAACCGCTTGGTTGTCCAGAAAATACAGTGTTTGACCAATCTGATGAGTGGAGTCGAAAGCTTAGACTCTTGCAAAAAGTCGGCTCGCTGCTCGTTTGGGTCCATTTTGTGACTTGCGGCGGGTTTAACCTGATGGATGTTGTGTTAAAACTACGCCACGACTTTCCTCAGCTTGCCTTCCCATTCCCCATGCCCATTTCCCTCCAGGATGGCATTCCCTCCATAAGAGAGGTTTACAACAGAAAAATATCGACATACTTTAGAGCTGAGGCCCCTTACGAGGCGAAAATCACGTGAAACGCAACGAAAACCCCATTTTGTCCACGGAAATTACAGTCCACGGAAATTACATTATTGCATGAAATGGGTTTTACAAGCCAAACCAAAAGTGCCACCGGAACCAAAATTTTACTGGAACAACTTGTCCACAAGGCAAACACACAAGGATTGGTTCGCAATCAAAATTTTGAATGGTCTGCAAGCAATGGGTGGAACGGAAATTACACTTATTGCTTGCTAGGCCAATTTTTTCGCCGCTTTGGAACATATTTAACTTTATATTTTCCGTTCTAATGGTGCCACATTACTCCGCCTCTTTGCAAATTGTGTAGAACGAATGCACCAACAATATGAGAAAAGTTTCAGAACGGTCGCACATAAGGTAGAAAAACCGTCCCAAAAAAACCGATTTTAGACTTTTTGAATTTCAGTTGTGGAAGACAATTTTCGGAATCATCTTGTGTCTGCAAATTTTACCCGAGAGATACGTTCTACACGTCAAAACGTAGCCTCACTTGCGTAGAACAAAATGCACTTAGTGAAAGTGATTTCTCATACTCCCTTGGGCTGTAGTAGAGGCGGGAAGCCCCAAATCTGGAGCGTAGGACATCAAAAAGTGTCCACGGAAATTACATTCTAGGGTAAAACTTGCAATTTAACGGTGGAAGGAGGCAAAATTTCATCTTGATGAGAGTTGTACCTTGTCCGCAGTGTCAAAAAACATAAAGGTAGGAAAAGACCCGGTTAAAATCGACTTTAGGTTGGAAGAACCAGAGAGAGGACACGAAATTACCACATCTCGCGAGAACTGCTCTTATCCTAACAATATAATAGGGGCTGGCTGCCGGGGCGGGATGGTGCGTCTGCCCGGCGCAGCCTGCGCGGAATTCGACAATCATTCCCCGGGCCGGGCGTAAACAATGGCACCCCCTCCTCGCGCGCGACGGCCTGCGCGGAACATTGACAATCCCTCCCCGCCTACAGCGCAGATGCACCGGGTGCTCGCAATCCAACGGGCACGGTGCGGCGGTGCAGGCCACGCCACAAAGGACTCAGTTTTTAAATACTCTCTTTTTTATGAGCCCATATACCCCGTAGAAGAAAACCAAACGAGTATCATCTGCTTTCATTAACGTTCGTTGAATGAGATTTTTTTTTTACGGCAGGAAACTTAACACTGAACTGTCCTCGACAAACTAGAAACTAAACACACACTGAAACTCTACAGAGAACGCTCGTTGTACTTCAGAGAAACAAAAGTACTTTTCTTAAGATGTCTAAACGGAACACCGAGCTTCGAAGCTCAAAGTCATGCATTCTCCTGCAGAGCAAATTTCAAGAACGGAGTGTCGCAGCGAGATGGTCTTTCGACCAACACTGAAAATGAAATAGTGATACATCTCACTATCTGAGGGGTGAGACACAACTGTCTCACCGAAAGAGGGTGATACTAAAAGGTATAACCGAAAAAAAAGTCGTACACAAATGTATCACCGAAAAGAAGGTCGTACACAAATTTATTACCGAAAAAAGGTATACTTCCCCAGGAAAACAAGGGCCAATCTCGCTGATGTCTGACCTTTTTTTCGGTGATACATTTGTGTACGACCTTAATTTATGTGATACATTCGTGTACGACCTTTTTTTCGGTGATACATTTTGTACCACCGAAAATTGGTGAGATGTCTAACCCTTTGAAATGCATTGAACTCGTTGTCCTTGAATCAACGCAGTGTCATTCCTCTGTTGGTGGCTGCGACTGTTTAGGGTCGGGCGAGAGGAGTGCCACCGTCACGGCCGAGCACTGAGCAGATCGCAAGCTTTTCGTGAGCTCACGAACGGTTTCCAACTCCCAAGTTCTCGTTTGCTCCTTTGAGCATTGTCACATTAGTTTGAATGGGAAGAAGCTTACTTACGGCTGATTAACATTGAAAGGAATGTGACATAATATTTATTAAGAGGAACGTGGCATTTTGTCCGTGTCCATTTCAATGTGATGTCACGTTCTTGGGAGTGGGAGTTGGTTTTTAAGCGGTCGCGACTCAAAGAATCTCGTGTTGCAACGGTACGGCACTCACCATGCTTTCACCTCGCACGAGCACGTTGTGTTTCACCGTACCGTAGCCGTTGAAGAGTTGGTGTTCCTTGCTGGAACGATTCGAGTGTAAAACTCCCTGTATGATGAGGTCGTCATCGGCGTCGAATTCTGATATAGGGCAGGAGCCCAGCGAGCGAACTGTGATCTTGTACGGCCCCTAGAAGAATCGTGAGCGAAATTTCGTATGTGAGGAGACGGTGGTGCTGCGCCAATTGACAGATAATGAGCCGGTGCGAAACAGGGTGACTCAAAACATACATTTTCGGGCCCAAAATTCCGTGGAAATGAAGTTGGCCCCGGTTGGCCCAAACTGCTTTTTTCTAGCAAATTCCGAAAAGAACTCCCGCTAAAACTTTGTACCCTAAAATTAATGTTCAATCTTGAAATAAGGGGAAGGGTAAAGTGAAATTGATAATTTCTTCATGTTTTTTCAGCCTTTTGTTCTTGCATAATGGTCATTCTGACATTAAAATGGACATCACCAGTGGATTCTCCATGCCCTCTTACCCCTTCGCCATCTTACACAGTAAATGTCTTACGGTGAAAGGCTGCACCAACGTAATATGGTGGAGATTTTCTCCATAATACCAACGAAATTCGTGAAAATCTCCATAATGTACAGTGAATTCTCAATGGTATGTTACGAAGTCAGCTGCACCACCATAATATGGAACATTTTCACCATAATATGGAGAATCTTCACTGTAGAACATTTAGAGTGTAGGTTGCAAGTCTGGTGGTACTTTTCGATTTTTTGCAAACTTTATAGATTTTGTCGATCTTTGGGTTTTAATCCTTGCGCGCAGGATTTCAAATCCGAACATTGTTCCAAAAGTCTGACGAAGTTGCCGCATATTTTTATAGTCAAAATGAAGAAGATAACACTGGTAGCCGACGAATGTGACGTCACGTTCGTTTTCACGTGAAAACAGCATTGTTGGTTTAAGCGTGACAAACGGTCAAAATTTACAGTCAAACGAATGTGACACACCGCACGGCTTTTTCACATTACTTCGGGTGTGACACGTAATCAGCAGGCGAACTGTCACATTCAAACGAATGTGACGGTACCCGGACACGTCGTGTCACATCCAAACGAATGAGACACCCATGTACTGTCACGTTCGTTTGAGTGTGACACGCCCGAATTGTCACATTGGAACGAACGTGACACCCCATAATCTGACACCATGGCGAGTCACATTCAAACAAACGTGACAAATTGTGCATGTCATATTCAAACGAACGTGACAAATTGTGCATGTCACATTCAAACGAATGTGACAGTACAAGGGTGTCACATTCGTTTGGAAGTGACAGTTTGCCTGCTGATTGCGTGTCACACTTAAAGTAATGTGACCAAGCGGTGCGGTCTGTCACATTCGTTTGACTGTAAATTTTCACCGTTTGTCACGCTCAAACTAACATCGCCGTATTCACGTGAAAACGAACGTGACGTCACATTCGTCGGCTACCAGTGAAGGGAGCCGGATTTTAAAAACATGTTTTCTTTCGGTTTTAATCCTGAGAACTAGTATTATGGCTGTTTCCTTGCCGCGTTTGGACATCCATTGACCTGTAACTTAAGATTGAAATATATTTTTTTGGAAAAAGCTCTCCCTTGTCTTCCAGCTGTATGAACACTTATCATTTAAGCTGTCACACAGCATTCTACCTCTTCCGGTCTCCGAGATATCCTGTGCGCAAGGTAAAAAAGGAACTGAGAAAAACAGGTTTACCTTACAGTGATTGTACGCATTAAAAGATTCCTATGCCGATTTGACGGTGCTGTGGGTCGAAATATGGTCAGGCTTGGATGTATAAAGGTCCAAAGAGTCGAAGAAAAAAAGCAAAATCCGAAAATCGATTTTCTTAAGATGGCAGTGCTTTGGCAGTGCTTTGGTTTCCGGTGATTTAGTTGCTAACTATGAAAAACTTTTACAGCCACTGACTGGACTCCATACTCCCATTACTTCCAAAGTTTTGAGGGTGTTGGTGTTATTTTAGTCGTCTACTAATAATTCTCCTTGCGAAGAACCAAAAAGTTTATGGAGGTGTGATTTTCTGTTTTAAAGCCAAATGGACATGCAAACAGACTAGTAAAGCCAGATTTGACAATATATACAAATGGTAGCCGGAATGTTGTTTTTTTTTTTAAATAGTTTTTCTTTTAGTGAATTTGGTAAAATTTTCGTAAACAAAAATTGTTTTTTGAGAAAAACTTTTGTTTGATGGTGGAAATTTGAAAATCTAGTTTTGCCACGAGATAGGCAAATTAATGAAGAACCTGTTAAACAAAAATCGACAACTTTTGGTTCTTCGCAAGGAGAATTTGGGCCAACGACTAAATTTGTTACGTAAACTTCCATAACTAAGAAGCTAGTCGGACTTGGGTGCCGTAACGTTGGGTTTCAGTTCATCTTATAGCTATTAGAAACTAAAATACAGAACCCGATGCCACAATTATTTTGGAAAATGATATTTCACATTTTTTAACTTTTCAGTAACCGCTCAAAGTCAAATTTGTTAAAAGTTCGTGAATTATAGTTGGAATTTATTGGAAATCTGTAATAATGAGTGAAGTTCACACCGAAATTAGAGGAACTTAGGCTCAAGTTCATTGAAATTCGTCCGAGATGAATGTTTAATGCAAAGATTTGTGCACTGAAATTCCAAATCATGTCCCCTTGTCCTGAAGCATGCTATTTCTGTACACACATAATTTAATAGAGTATTTTCTGTTGATAGAACTGAAACTCGGACAACAGTGTCTCTCACCGCAAATGCCGCATAAACGCTGCCAGTGGAAATCAGTGACACCAACACAGGCAGCATTAGTTTAGTCTGGCCGCCCCAGGGAAGGGCTCCGCACGAAGTCAGGCCATGGAGCATGTCTGCTGGCCTGCGGTCGCTCCTGACGATTTTCGTAAACTAGATACGACGCGCTTTCCAGCAGAGGTCGCGTCGATGCTTTCCGAGGTACTTCAACTCCTGTAAACAAGCCAAACAGTCGTCCGTTCATAACATTCTGCCTCGCCATGAAAGCCTTGTGACACTTGCGTGACCGTCCACACTTCAGTGCTGGCATTGTTGGCTGTCGAGTTATCCCGGTCACCACATCGGTCCGGCTCCAATTCATCATGCACGCACCGGATGTGTTGAAGGGGGTGGTACACGCACGGTCAAAATATATACTAGATTCTCGCGAAAAATTTTTTGAGCGGACGGAGACGTAAGCTTACGGGACGTTATAACTGATAGTGGGATCTTTTCATGACTTAACGTTTTAAGGGAGGATGGGGCACCTTGTGACAAGAGACCTTTTCAATGTGCAACCATCGAAAACGAGATCCGTTAACCCTATCAAAAAAATGTTAAAACAAGATAGGTGCACGCCAGACGGTGTCTTGTAACAAGCTTCGCGATGCGGCGCCCGTTACGACAATCCACGCCTGGCGTTTACACCTACCGTGAGGCTAAATATCTTTATAATTAACACGTTCGCTGCAACGGGGTTTTGGGTGGAAAAGCTCAGACTGCGAAGGCTTCCCCAGAGAAAACTATTGCCCGGGGCCCAAAAGAAAGGGCCCCTTCCGGGGGAAACCCCAACCCAAAATTTTAACCCCAAAATTTTTTTTCGACTTCCTCAAATAGGGGGGGCCCCAAAACCCACCCAAAGGGGGGGGCCCAAAAAGGAAAAAATGACCACAGTCATATTCTTCGTATCGGAGTATGACGAACCGCCGGGTGCGCGGAGCGCCAGACTGCGATAAAAAGATCCTTTCGCATACATTCTGTCGTAAAAGTTTAAACACTTTTGCTTTTAAAAGTTGAGGTATGCATAGTCGTATACTTCCAAAATAATTACTCAGCTTTAAGGGAAAATAAATTTTGCTATTTCGTACATTTTTGCGATTCTGGGAAATGTTGTTGGTTGCAAAACAATCTTCCCTTTTCAGAATGGGCATGGGCATTTTTAAATGTCGTAAAGTGAAAATTCAAGCTTGTACGCTGTGTGCGCGAGATTTGTTTTAGCCTCAGTAAAAAGGACTCTGCGACGGGTTCCTGTTTTGCCCCCCTGTTTAATCAATGGCTTGTGTTTTTAAAAATTGCCCTATTTGGAGAAAAAGCATTTTACCGCCTTTAACCCCCGAATAATAAAATGGAAAATGAAAAATAGAAATAGACGCAGTTTATCAATCATTTATTTGTTAAACAAAACAGTTTCGCCATTGTGTTCATAAATAGGCCTTAGTGAACACTGAATTAAAGTCATAATCCAAAGCCTTATGTTTTTTTTATTTGTTCCGCGAGGTTGGCAGCATTGATGTTAGCGGACGACGATGCCGCAGCCCCGACATTTAACAACAGCACCGATCAGCCTGCGCCGTACCTGCATAACTGATTATGAGCAGCTAGTGTCCTTGCAGATTTTTAAACAAATACGTGTTACACCTTATTTGTTAGTTTGGAAGCAAGCTGATGTTGTGAGCAAAGTCACATTGCATTCATTTGTCAAAAGGTCAGTTAAATCTTTGATTACTAAACTGTACATGAGGCTATGGCTTTCCTTAAAACCTAGTTTTTGTCCAAATGCTCAGGAAATGGGGAATTGGACCTTTGACATTGCATGCTGCAATAAATAAATGTCACTCATGCAGCTTGTTTTTTTTTTTTTTAAATATGCTTTGCTGTAGGTTTTATCTGCTCAAATAAAAGAATGCCAAGGAACCCAAGGAAGAAGGTTGGGCGGAAGAAAGGTTATCGCAGATTTATTGGCAGGAAGGGAAAGGACCATTCATTCTATAAGTAAGTGTTACATTTTTAGAGCAATGCTTCTTGTGAAAAAATTCTAATAAAGTATCAAACTTCCTCTATGTTTTTAAGTTTTTATCTCTATTTATTTATTTTCTACTTTTATTTAGTAGAAAGAAAGGAATGATAGAACATCCTACCAATGATAACGATTCTTCCCAAGTTGAAACAATGAAACAAGCCCAGGAGTCAGTTTCCCTGAAAGATGATTCTCTGGTGAGAAAAGATGATTCTCCGGTGAGACTGCCAAAGCACTTTTTATTAGAATCTCAGGCGATTTACAGTCATTTGTTCTTTGATTCTCTTTAGGTATTTCACGGCTTTGGAGATATGGAAGACCACAAGAAACCAGCCAGGGTTCTTTCTCTCTTTGATTATGGCATAAGTGTGGGCCGTTACTGTCTTGATAAGCTAAAAATTGCTGTGCAGTGTTATTACTCATCGGAGATAGATGAGAAAGCCCTAAAATTGCAGCGTTACAATTTTGGTGACAAAGTTATTCCTTTAGGCTGCATAAAAAATATAACGTCAGACATGCTAAGGTCCCTTGGAAATATTGACATTTTACTTGCTGCCCCACCATGTCAGGGTTTTTCTCCGGCCAATGCAAAACGTCTTGGCTTACCAGGTAAGTGCTTTCAAAATCACTTTGCCCAAAGAAATCTCAAAAATACACTTAAGTTCTTTTTTATTATTACCAGGTGAAAATGGAAAACTATTCAAAGAATTGACTAGGATTTTGAAAGACCTTCAGAAAATTAATGAAGAAAACAATACTAAATTATACTTTTTATGTGAAAATGTTCGATCAATGGAAAAGGAAGTGAGAGCTGAAATAACAAGGTAACTGGGACTAGACCATTCAGTTAATATTTGCTGATACGTTTTTCTATACAGCCACTCATGTCATGTTTTTTTTTTAAGGTCAATTGGGTGCGAGCCCTTTGTGCACAATGCTAAAAAATATGGCTATATGAAACGGGCAAGGCTATTCTGGAACAACTTTCCTCAAATTGAAGATGAAGAAAACAATTCAAATGAAGGTGGTCATTTAGGGGATATTTTGTCTTGTAACAGAACAGCAAATGTGATGATCCTGCCCACCTTAACCACAACATACCAGTCACAAATTACAGGTAAAAAAAATACGATTTCAAGAAATCCTAGGAGTCACGAAGTCAGTTTGATTATTGTGTAAGAGTGTGGAGAAAGAAAAGAAAAGGTTTTGTGAAGTTGTGGCTCAGGGGACTACCAATGGCAGTGGTACCAATGTGGTCGATGTGCCACCCGTCAAAATTTAAACTTGACAATAGAAATCAAAATGCTGGTAAATTCAAAAAATTCCAATGCTAATGTATTCCGCAGTGTTCTAACAATGGAACATCTTTAAAGTCCATCATTATTAAAATGTTCTTGGCAGAAAGAAGGCAGTAAATTTATTTTCACGGGTTGGCAACTAGTTTCTCGGCGTCTGCGCCCTTGCGAAAATCGCGAAGCTGAAAGCACCAGCAGTCGCGCATTAAAACTGCCCATCCATTGTTGCTGACGTTGAAATGTTTGGCTTGTTTCAAAAGGCTGTGGTTCTCTAGTCATGTTTTCTTCAATTCTGTGTAATAGTTCTCCCTTACAACGTATCAACACCACGACGGTTGGTTTGACAAACTTCATAAACTCGGGAGGGATGGTTTCGAAACGCGGGTGAGTCTTGTTCGAGGAACATGAGCACTACAAGTCGCGAGGTGGAGCGAAGTGGTCCTAGTGCTAACTGAATCACAACAACAACAAAATTGTTTTATTGACAGAAAAAAAAGGAATATTTGAGAAACTATATGTCAGAAAAAAAGAACTTTTGTTTTGCTAATTTTCTGTGAATATTTTTTTAGAAAGTCATCACACAAAAATTGAAAATTTGTTTTATGTGAATTGTCATAAGCAGGAAACAAAGAAAAAACAAGAGAGCAAAATTAATACAGATTTCAAATGCTACAGTTGGCTAAACTGTTAAACAGGTTGCAAACCTACTGCGCATGTCCAAAAACACTCCAATCAAGAAGTATTATTGGATAGTTCTACCCGAAAAACTGCGTTCGAACCGACACCAATTCTATTGTTGCATCTTGTCTACCTGCAGTCAAAGAAATTTTTCATTTCGAACGTGCTGATTTCTGCTTTTGGAGTAAGCTGTACAGACCCAAAAAGAAGCTCGGCTATTGGTCCGCCCCGGCTCGGCTCCCCCCACTCCCTTTTTTTTCCTTTGACGAGTCGAGTTTTGCCATAGAAACGGCGATTTTGACAGCAAATTTCTCAAAATTGGCCACCAACTTTTTAACCAGATTTCAGCATGAGAATCAGCGTTCAAAGTTCTACAAGTCTGCAAAGTCTCATTAAAATCGTATAGAAAATTTCCGAAATGCATAAAGGGCCACACAAATTGAATCTCGGGCCGGCTGAATCCTGGGTATACTATAAGGCTACTTCGTGCCTAAAAAATCAACCACCTATTGTTATTGTAAGTACCTACAATTCGCATTCTATGTTTCAGGAAAGAAGGATAGGAAGCTGCCAGTACTTGATGATGGAAAGGAATCGGTCTTGCTAACAGTAGAAAAAGAGAGAGCATTTGGTTTGCCAACATCTTTTACCGATGGAGCTGACCTAAGTATTGGAGATAGAAGTAAGCTTTTAGGACAGGCTTGGTGTGCCAATAGTATGTTAGAGATTATGAAACCACTAACGAAAGTGTTTAAAACATATGATTAGAACTAAACCAAGGCATATAGAATAAAAAGTCACATAACAAAATTACTTTTAGAAATGTGTGAGAACCGTTTCATAGCCTTCTATGCTTCTTTTCCGCTTCACCTTAAAATTCTCATAAGGCTCGGCTCTCTCTCCCCCCTCCTCTCAACTTCCCCTCCAAGCAGCTCTGGGATCATTCTGCATCGAGCTGTGGTGTCGTGATTTACTCCCTGCCTTCCCTACTCACAACTCTACGAACTTAGCACTGGCGACGAGGATTACGAACTTCAACGGGCAACAACCTGCCATCGTCAAGTTTTGGTGTCTACCTCTGAGCAACAACCTCGGTATGTACCTTTATGGCATGGCATCTTGGCGATAACCAGTTACGCTTACTGTTTCCCGATATGGTGCTACCGGACCGCGTCGAACCCAGTGTTTTGCGTGCGTTTCGGCACGCCGCGTTTCCTAGTGATGGGTCCGTCGAATGGGACGTTTGGAAACTTTCGTTCGAATTCGCGTTGGAAGCGGCTACCGTCGAACATGAGGACGACAAGAAAGCCCTGCTCCTTGCCCATATCGGGGCTACTGCCCTTCAACTCCTGGCATCGCTCTTGTACCCAAACAAGTTGCAGCAAGCCACCTATGCCGAAATCGTTCAAAGATTGGACGGCCACTTGGGCCCTCAGGAGTCTCTCGTTATTGCCGTCGAACGGTTTAGGAATCGCAAGCAGGGGTCAGACACGGTGCGCGTATGGCTCGCGGATTTGCGTCGTTTGGCGTCTCGCTGTAAGTTCACGAATTTCGAACAAGAAATGTGCTCGCAGCTAGTTCGCGGCGTGGCGTCCACTGCAAACAAAGTGCGGTTATTGGAGGAGCCCAACCTGACAATGGCCAAGGCCCTCGAGTTGCTCAATGCATGGGAGCTCGCGCGCGAATCGACAGTGGAATTGGGCTCGAGTCAACAAAACCTGCACGCTGTGGCCACGACGCTGCCCTCCAAGGGCGCGCCGGCGGCACAGCCCGCGCCGCAGCCCGCTGCGTCGGGGGCGCGGGGCAACAACAACGCCTCAAAACAACAGGTGGCCAAAGCAGTACCGGGCCAGCCCTGCCCCTCGTGTGGGCGGGTTGTGCCCAAAACCGATGGGATGTGCATGCGTTCACTGTTAAAAAAAATCTGAAAATTCAGACCACTTTTGTCAGACTTGGTGGTCTGAATCTATTTTTCAGAC